GAGACCGGTAGAAGGTTCGGCGAGGAAATTTACCTCCTCAACCCTGCCATCAGACGACTTAAATTGCTCCCTCCTTCCCCTGTTCAGCCAGATCGCCGGTGGGATCTACCTCCTAACTCTAAGTGGCATCCGAATCCAAATCACATCGGAATTGGGTTCAGTTCTCTCACTGCAGATTACAAAGTTGTGAAGATTGGGAATATCTTAACGACTTACCCAGAATATAGATGGTTCACAGGAGCACAAGTTTACTCTCTAAGGTCCAATTCATGGAAAACGGTGACTTGCTTTAACTCTGGAATTGATATATGGGGTTCCTGCAGTGGACCATTCCTCAATGGAGCTTTCTATTGGCTTGCAAAGAAAGAATCTGGTCGTCATGATATAACGAATTTGTCAATGTGGCTTTCTTTTGGCGTTCATCAATGGAGTTGGAAAGATTTATTCATTTTTTCGTTTGATTTCGCCGAAGAAACATTCAAAGAAATGAGATTACCAGAATACCTCTCCGACAACGGAAGAAATTGTTTACTACCAGGCTCTTTTTGCATGGGGGAATTCAATGGAAAACTTTACCTGATGCTAAATAAAAGTGTCAACTTTGAGATATGGTTGATGATGGAAGATAGTTCCTGGGTTAAAACATTTTCTGAACAAAATTATGGGGGAACTTTCCTTAACACTACTCCCTTGGGCTTTGGGATGAACAATGAAGTGATATTGTTGAAAACTGTAAGGAATTGGGACAATCCACCTAAGAATCTTGTTGCATACGACCCTGACACAGGAACACTGGTGAATCATGGAACCAGAGAAGCAAGCAAGTTGTTCCACTACGTGCCCAGTTTGGCCTTGCTTGGAGAAGAAAGCTTGTCCTTTGAGGAAGCTCTGGCATAAAACTAACTTGCAATACAGCAGAAGGAGGCAACGAAATTGGAAACTCAAGGTAAGCCCATTTATATATGCATTGCTTTTTACTTACCTTCCTTTCTTGCATGTGAAGGAATTCAGTTGATATATACAAATCTTTGTCGATTTGGTTATATGTTGCATTAATTTTATACTTCTGCATATGAAGAATTCAGCAGAGTAGTTAATCTTATAATCATAGCCTAGCTAGCTTCTACCAAAAGTCATTCGATTCCATTCATTGATATACTACTATCAAATGGCTTTACCCTTTTTTTTGTTTTTTTATTGAAGTAGGGTAATTTTGGGATGAGATAAGATTGCAAAGATTTGAATCTAAAACTTTAAGTGTCATAAAAACAATTAGGCTACTAAGTAATTGGCAAGGTCTTAACATCTTGGTTTACCTAAAAGCAGCATTTGATTGTGAAACTCTTTTGCTCAAGA